AAGTGTATAGAGCCTTCTGGAACTTCTAGCCCAGTTAGGCCACCCACTGAATGCTGCTGAGCAAATGACCCCAGCAATGCCGCAGGGAGCAGAAGAACTACTCCGCTTATCCTTGTCTGCATTCCTGACCCATGGAATTATAGGCAAGTAAAAATTGCTATTTTTAAGCCCCTATCTTTGGGTATAGTTTGTTACACAGCAATAGATAATAAAAACAACTGGCTCATACCGCTCACCGTCTTCCCCAAAGGAAAGTTTACTTAGGAAACCAAATTGATTGATAAATAAGAGAATCAGAGCAGAGAAAATGTTTTCAAGGATACCCAGGACTACAGTTCCAGGCTTTTCCTCATTTGACCTGAGTATCACCTCCCCTTGCCAATCTGAGAAACCATTGCCCTCAAATTGTCTCCTCATGAACACCACTTTCCCATTCTAAGATGCTCCAGTCAGTTCTTCTGATTGCTCTAAGTTTTATATGAAATTACAGCTGGTTTGTGTCACGCAGTGGGCCTCCAGTAGTCACTCAACAGGGCCACCCAAATGTAGTGAGTCCCTGCCTTGTCTGAGGCACTGAGCTGGGAGGTGGGGATGCCAGCACAAACACGCAAATATGCAAATATATAGTCCCTGCCCTCACAAAGCTTATAATCTATTAGAAGGAGCAAAGTCACATTCAAATAATTATAATTCAACTCAGACTCTGAGTTGCCTGGGAAACACCGGAGTACTTATTTATGGCTTGGTGGAAGATTTCATAGGGAGAGTGACATTCGATCTGGGCCTGGGAGAGTGAGTAGGAGCTTGGCAGGAGGGGACATTTATCAGAGTCATTCCAGCCAGAGGGAGTAGTGTGAGTGAAACTTTCTGATGAGCTTGGGGGCCTACAAGGTGTCCGGTGAGGCTGGGATGTAGCAAGAATTAGGGCAGATGAGATTAAAAAGGTAGCTTGGGGTCTGATTGTGCAGGTCTTCAGACACTCACTCCTTAGAAAAGGAGTTAGAAATTTGTCCTTTTAAAAATTGGTGAGCTGTGGAAGGTTCAGGGGCGAGGTGGTCACATCTGCATTCATACAGTGTTGGTCATGGGGCTTCTTTTTCCTCCCATCCCCTGTACTGGTACTCTTTGTTCAGAGACTGATGATACCATGTGGAAGAACAAAATAGATGAGTAATTGAAAGCATACCCTCAGAGGAAGGCTGCTTGATAATCTGAGAAGTAGTTTATCACTTTACCAATTAAAAATAGGGAAAATATATTTAAATGTGTTTTGTTCAATTGTTTTATTTTTTTTTGTATGAGGAAGATCAACCCTGAGCTAACATCCATGCCAATCCTCCTCTTTTTTTGCTTAGAAAGATTGGCTCTGAGCTAACATCTATTGCCAATCCTCTTCCTTTTTTTTTTCCCCCAAAGCCCCAGTAGATAGTTGTATGTCATAGTTGCACATCCTTCTAGTTGCTGTATGTGGGACGCCGCCTCAGCATGG